TAACATATTTCTACTTTAACATATTTCTAGATTACTATAATAACAGTTAAATGTGCAACACCTTAAATTACTATTATAACATGTATAATATTATATTTAAAAATTAATAAAACAGATATGAAGATTTACTTGTTCGGCAGGACTTCGCCGCGCGAAATGCTGCACAAATAATCTAGAGAGAAGGCATACCAACTTTAGAGAGAAGGAGTGAGATGGAAAAGTGAAATTTTTGAGGTTTTTATAGGTCAAGAAATTCACGCCTGGATTGGGCGTGAATTGTCACGCCTACTTTGGGCGTGAATTTTATGTAATTAACGTCTAATTTGGGCGTGAATTGTCCCGTCCATTTTGAGCGTGAATGACTCGCAATAAATTCGATTATAGTTTTTAAACTACAATCTATTCGTAATTAATTATTAAAAGTGTAATATTTTAATTTTTTTTTACTAGAACACAAAACATATAGAGCGAGAGATAGAAATGAAACCACACAAAGGAGAATGGAAAACGATGGAGACGAACTAAAACGGCAACCGAGAATGGTTGGCTGATGGTTGTGAGTCTTGTGACTAGTCTTAGTTCGTATACGTTAACGGCGGCTGCACTTTAAACGGTGAGATTATGTATAGATAAATGAAAAGGGGTGAAATATAATATAATAATATTAGTTGTTATTATTTTTAATTTATATTATTTCATTGATATCTCTATTTATTTTAGGGAAAAGCACTTCTATCATGATGTATGAGAAATGTTTCCCATGTTGTGACTCTAGTTTCTTTTCTTTTCTTTTTTTAATAAATGTGGAGTCATTATTGGTTATTGAGTCACAATATGATTCTTATACAACATAAAAAAATTCAAAGTGCTTTATTTTATGATGGAAATTTTTATTACGTTGCATAAATGACAAGACCACCTTTTACTAATTCAAAATATGCGGGCTCTACCATTAATTTTTTGTCCACATTTTTTTCTCTCCTCATTTGTAATGGGTCGGTGGGATATAGATCTAACTCATTATCCGTTAATCTTTTCAACATTTTATCTACTTCTCAAGCAGTAAAATGAAAACATTGTATTATTTTTCACTCATTTGAAGCATATCAAACTAAGTTTCAATAAATGTGATTGTGTTATAAAATTATACATATCTAACTCATTATCTGTAAATCTTTTTATTATTCATCTACTTCTCAAGCAATAAAATAAAAACATTTATTATTTTTCACTCATTTTAAGCATATCAAACAAAGTTTCAATAAATTTGATTATGTTAATAATTATACGAAATTCATTAATGTAGTAACTTTCTCATTGTATAATATTTTTATTTATTTCCCAATTAGTTCATAAAAGAACTTAATTAGTTTGATTTGAAAGTTATCAGACTCATATAATGGGCAATTTTTCTAACATCATTTTTTTTATACTCAGAACTTGAATTTAACACCTTTATTTATGAAGAACAAACTTTTTATCTCATTTAAATCAATAGTTACCGGATTGCATATTTTTTCCAATCCTTAATTTCAATCTTACTTAATTACGCGAACCATCCATCAGGTGTATTTGTATTTTGATGTTGTATTAAGGGTCCGTTTGAGTGAGTTTTTTTCTCTTCAAAAGTTATTTTTTTTAAAAAAAAAAAAAAATACTTCTCACTTTAAGTTCGTTTGAATTTAAAAAAAAAATATAAGTCACAAAAAGCTACTTCTTTTTAACTTTAAAAAAAAGTAGAAGTCAAAAGTTAAATATTTTTTTCAAAAATTAAATATAAATAATTTTAACTTTTATAAAAAATACTTTTAAAATAAAAAAAAGATAAAAAATTATTTTTTCTTGAATGCGAAACAAACTGGCTCTAAAGCGAATGTAAGAGGTTGTTCAGTCTCATATGGAGTTGATAGTTTGCTATTGCGGCCTAAAGATTAAACCCACCATTATAGATGAATCAAGTCTTTTTCAAGTCGGCCAAGATGCTCAAAGGAGACAAATACGTTGTAGAGCATGCAAGTGAGCAATAGTGGGATGGCCAAAAAGTCCCTCTTATATTGTGCATACGTGTTGTATATATAATTAGTTGAGGAATATTCTAGAGGGGTGTGTGATTTTGATGATACAACTGTCAATCCTGTGAACCTCACACCGAGCATGTTGATAATGTGAATGGGCTAGGCTGGGCTTTGATCTTTTTGGCCTAAGTCTACGTTAAAAAAATTCAGCATATCTGGCCTACTGACCTATTAAAGGCTTTATTTGTAGGTCAAGTCCGACCCATTTTTTAAAATAAGAAAGCTTGACATGGCCTACAGGCCTTGTAGGCCTGCCACTGTAGATACTAAGCAAAAAAAATAATTGTATAAAGTAAAGAAAGTTTCATTCATGCATGCATTAGTACTTCTCATAAGAAAAAAATGATAAACAAAAAAGAGTCAACATAATACCCCAGCTGTAGAATGTATATCATAGAGGAATAGAGTCAAAGAAATGGAGAAAATAAAAAAAATACAATTATCGGATGCTGAAATAAAGTCTACAAGAGAATTTCATTTATCTAAAAATCTTTAAACCACCATCAAGACAAGGGAAAAAAGAGTATTATTGAAAGATCTTCATCAGTAACATCATAATCCAGCAAGGTACCCATTACTCATGGTATTAAGCTGCAACAACATGTAAAATTTGAAGACATTAGACAAGTTTTCCTTTCATAAAATAAAATAGCACAAAAAGTAAGAGATATTGGTATTTGGTACTTTGTGTTTTTGCCACATAAAATAAATATTATTTTATTATTTTATTTTAATAAATTAAATAGGCCAGCCTACAAGGTTGTAGGCCTGGCTTGACAAAATTGGCCTATGACCTATTTGTTAAAAAAACTTTTTCATAAATCTAATTTACTCTACTTTTCTGAAAGGCTGGGACTGGACCGGACTCAATGTAGTATGCGTTGGGCCAGCCTGACCCATTTATACCCGTAATGCAATCCTCATGACGGGATACAATTAGTTGTGCAATAAATAAAACTAAGAGAATATTTGGTGAAATGATATTTTATCGTGTAATGTGATGGCGATTTGCGCTTCATGATGAGCCCAATATACCTATTTAGAATGCATATAAAATTTGGATAGAATGTACAACTCAAGTTTGGAAATATGGAGGGTTTTGATTTTGATGTTTTAATATAAGTTAAAAAAGTTTCTTATGTCAACTTTTTATATGTTTAAATTTTGGGTTAAAAAAAGTTACTTACTAGACATAAAATTACTTTTTATGTCAAATTTTCGTGGAAAAAATATTTGTCATTTTAAATGACATAAAATTATGTCATTTTAAGAGAGAGATAGATACTAAAAAATATTTTTTTATTTAAAATTTAAATTAAAATAAAATCACTCACTTTCTCTTCCATAATTTTTATTTCTCGTGTCTATCTCTCTCTTAAAATGACATAATTTATGTCATTTAAAATGACAAACACCAAACCCAATTTTCATATGTTTAAATTTTGGGTTTACTCTTTCAAATGATTCAAATAAGAACAAAACTTTGATAATACCGTATTCTCTCTTTTTATATTTGGAAAAAGTTTCACTTTGTTTGAAAATAAAATTTTCTGCCACATTAAATTTTTTTCCAAATATAAAAAAAGATGGATACTCCCATAATATCAAAATTTTATTCCTCAAGCAATAATGTTAATCCTATAATCCAAATGGATGTTTTTTGGAATTTAAGAAAAATATATAAAATATTTTAAGAAAATTCATGTTGCAAGAGAAAAATAAAATTGTCAAAACATCCTTCTAAGAAATTATTTTATTTCCTGTAAAAAATATTATTTTTTGCTTAATTTTTTATTAAGTATTTTACAAATGAAAAAAAGAATCTAAAAGTACTTTTGACCATGCCTTCGTATTTAACACAAATTGTCAGTCATAAAGAATACCACACTGAAAATGGGTGGTTAAAACGTTTTCATTTTTTTATGAGTATTTTCTTTAACACGTATTTGCTACCATTTTATTTTAATCTTTTTAGATATAAAACAAATTAACTCAAACACACCAATATATAACCATTTTCCTTTTTTATTAGTACACATAACCATTTTCCTTAAATTGTAAATAAATGTATTTTGTGATGAGATTCTGACAGAATAATTGATCATACGTTGGGGCTCGGATCTAAACTTCAAAAAGAACCATCTGAAAAGTCTAACACAATTATATTTCTATATAAATTGAAGCCCGAAGCTAGGCCCACGATCATGTGTAATTCAGTAATTGTAATATATGGCCAACCCGTGCCACAAAATATAACCCAAATGTGAGGTGCGTAGGTGTTACCGGGTCCAGGTCCCCACATTAACTTGAACACCAAAAACATAAACAAAATAAGACGAAATACTGAAAAAATTATTTGATCTTTTTGAGTTTTAAATATTATCCTTTCATCCTCAAAGGCTTGGTGTTATAATAAATGAATCGTCCTCTTAGAAAATAGATCAAAGTCCAAACTTTTGAGTGAGTACTTATTAAGAGAGTCTCATAGTCGGTAACAAATTGCAGATGTGTTTACAGGGGTTAGCCTATATACAGTAACGTATATTGAAATATTATAATACAATGTAAACAGAAAATTATACGTCTTTCATAATTTTAAAACGGCGTATGTAATTATGCAAACTACTTAAAGTAAGACAGTAAGGAATGTTATTGTGAATTTTATTATCCTAATTTGAATTAGTCTAAATATATGCAAATTAGACTACAAACCAACGGAGAACAATACAAAAAAAATTTATGCTTCTAGCTTTATAACATTTATTTTTGAAACTTTAGATATTCACATTTATTTTTCAATCTTTTAACCAAAATAAATGTACATACGTTCTAATATTACACTTTTGTTTTCAATCTTTTTCATCACATTTATATACGCACTTTTAATCCACACACTCTAATTCAATATAATCCAGACTTTGACCCATGTGTGCGCAGAAAGTGGTGCTGAAGATCATGACCATGGCTGATGAGAAGACAAAGAAAAAAGCTATAGAGGCTGTTGCCGGTGTTTATGGTAAGTCTGATGTCCATATATCTATCACATAATGTTTCAAATCACTTTTATTTTTTATTTGATTTTTTAAGAAGGAAATTACAATATATTTGAATGTCTGGTTAATTATTGAGCAAATTAAGCAGGTGTTGATTCAATTTCAGCTGATCTGATGGAGCAGAAGATGATTATAGTTGGAACTATGGACAAAATTGCAATAGCCACAAGGCTTAAGAAGATTGGAAAGATAGACATAATATCAGTTGGACCAGCTAAAGAGGAAAAGGAGAACTAGGAAAATAACTTATAATTGTATAGCATTTGTTAGAGAATAATATAAATTATTAAAAAAGTTCTCACCTAACACCTTAAGATTTTGGGTTGAAATGATTCTTTACATGGTATTCGAGTTTCAGTGACCACAAAGTTACGAGTTCGATCCTCACTGCCCTTACTTTTGAGTGAAACCAAAAACATTGGGCATGTGCAATATCCTCACTTCAAGCCCAAAGGCATGTTTGTTAAACTCACGCGTTTACTCGTGAAATCGGACGAGTTTACGCTTCAGCAATAGTGTTACGAGTCACGTTCTTCAATTACTCGCTTTTGGTCCTCAAATGGCAGAAACGTCGAGTTTCTTGACAAACTCGTATAACCGTACGAGTTAAACGTTTTCATCAGAAAAAAAACCCATTACCCGAATATTTGACCCGGAAAGGAGTGAGTATAAACGGGTTTCTTTAGCTAAAAATAAACCTAGATCCTGAGCCACCATCGTGGGAGAGAAACTCGCGACTGACGAAGACCTTCAAGCCACCGTCTTCTCCGCGTGAGTGAAGCTTCTCCGCGTGCTTCGTCATCTTGCTGAGTAAAGCTTCTCCGCGTTCTTCGAGCAACCGTCTTCTGCTTCGCCGTCGTGCTTCAAGCTACCGTCATCGGTCGTCCCTCACCACCGATTAGTGCTCACTGGTCTGCGTCTGCCTCTGTCTGGATCTCTTCTTTGTTTCATTTTTTTTTTGTCTCGTCGCCTCTGTCTCATCTCATCTCTTCTACCGTCTTTGTTTTACTTTTTTTTTATAAATTATTTTATTTTATTTTATAAAACAAAATCAGTTTATTTTATTTATAAAACAAAATCATTTTTTTTATTTTATAAAACAAAATCATTTTATTTTATTTTATTAAACAAAATAAGTTTATTTTATTTTATTTTATAAAACAAAATCAGTTTTTTTATTTTATAAAACAAAACCAGTTTATTTTATTTTATAAAACAAAATCAATTTTTTTATTTTATTTGATAAACCGTAAACTAAACTAAACCAAATCAGATTTGTTTTTTTTTTTTTGAGTATCCAAACCAAATCAGATTTATTTGAAAAAACAAATTAATTTTGTTTTCACTTGAATTGCCTCTGTTTGATTTTATATTCAAAGAAAAATTAAAATTAATTGTATTAAAATTAATCTAAGTTAATTTCACTTGAATTGTGGTAAGTTTTTTTTGTCCTCTTAATTTTTGCTTGACGCTGGTCCAATTAAACTAAAGTTTTTGTTTTTTATAGTTAAAATTTAAAATCACTACCTATTACTTGCTAATTGCTATATATCATTGGGTTTGTATTTGTTTGGGTCCATACCAAGAAAAGAAATCGCCTGAAACAGAAGAAAATGAATGATCTTGTATATGTGATGGTCAATTTAAAATTGGCCAAGAAGAGGAAACGCAAAAAAAGTGTTGGGCAAGAGCATGAATTTTATAGCATAGATGATCTTTCATCTGATGATGAATGGATTGTGGAAAATGAGGGAAGTCCATCCAACATTGAAGATATAGATGATTTGGATATTCCTGAATTTAACTTGGATGCTACAGATGAAGATGCTTTGATGATACCTGAAGATGATGATGGTTCTGAACTTGGTGGGGGAGGTGGAGAAGACATCATGCAACAATGTTTTGGTGATGAAGATGAAGATGATGATGAAGGAAATAATGAAGATGGTGATGAAGATGATGGGACAGAGGATGATTATGACATTCCATCATTCCATTGAGATTTGATTGATATATTGTTTTGGATTTGAATGTTGTGTGCTATGACTTTATGTGTTTGAGACATTATGTGATTATGACTATTGTATGACATTATTCTGCTGGTTGGTTGAATTAAATTTGCTTATTATATTACTTTATATGCATATAAATATATATAAATATAATTTGTATCTTGTGTTAGGAGTTTACGATCTGTGTTACGATTCTACGATTTACGATTTTGGTTCACCTTTCCGAGTTTGCATAGAATCTTGAGTTTTGTTAAGAACGATACACAACCCCAAAAGCTCAAAGGGTGGGAGTGCCCAAGGCCTTATAAACTCCACATTAGTTGCTCTTCAACCAATGTGAGATTATATATCTCAACACGCCCCCTCACGCAAGAGCCCTCTTGGCTCGAAGCGTGGATTATGCAACAGGCCCAATCTTTGGCTTACCTTTTTTTTTGTGCTTCCACTTTAAAGTGGGGGGCGGTGAGGATCGAACCTCAAGCTCTGATACCATGTTAAGAACCTTGAGATACACCACCCCAAAAGCTAGCTCAAAGAGTAGGAGTGCCCAAGGCCTTATAAATTCAACATTAGTTGCTCTTCAACCAATGTAGGACTATATATCTCAACAAGTTTGACAACCATGTCCAAAAGGCTCTTATGTGAAGGGGTGTGTTAGAGAATAATATAAATCATTCAAAAAACCATCACCCAACACCTTAAAATTTTGGATTGTAACGATTCTTTACAGCCTTGTTTGTCTACCGATGCTAATCTTACATGAAATTTGTAAACCATATTATTATCTGTTATTGATTAAAAGTAAATAAAAAATCTCTGAATTGAAGCTGCAGCAGTCTGAAAATTCAGAAGATTGTTTATTTGGAAAGCAGCAATTGAGAAATTTTAGCACTATCCTTCCTTTGTACTTCAAAGAATATCGATCGTTCTCATGAACCTAATATTGTTGTGGCTAGCTAGTACTATCCTTCTCTGACCACACATTATTTTTGGTCGGGAAGAGTTGGCGATACGACATATCTATACTGCTCTTAATTGTGAGCTATGATGCACGAATACTGACATGGGACACGTGACACGACACGACACGACACGCCTACATGTTAATTTTAAAAATTGTCATATTTGGACATGTTGGGACACATTTTGATATTAAATAAATTTTTTAATATATATAATATAATTTACATTTTTTTTGGATAACATATAATTTATATTTAATTCATATAATAAACCATGAAAAATCATACAACCAATAAATATCTTGAATAATTTTATCTATGAAGTGTGTTAAAGGTATTGATTATAGAACTTATAATATTATTTATAAAATAATTTTGATTATTCAATATAATTTAAAATATTTGTCATTTAAGATAATATATAATAAATAAGATGGCCTCTTAATTTTATTCCAAAACATAAATATATTCAATTAAATTACTCATTATTAGAATATTAAAAATAATATTATTTTATAAATATTTGTTATTAGTTTTTAACAAATGATAAAGTTATTGAAAGGCCAACTATCCTGCTAAAAATAATGGTTGAGCTTAACTCTATTGTCATATTCTAATTAATCTTGTTTGTTCTAGTAACCGTGGTGGTAAAGGCTAGGCGCATCAAAATCAATAGGCTATGTGCTGTAGACCAAAAAAAATAGCTTTTGCAGCTGAGTAGTCATTTTCACCGTTTGACAAATTCAAATCTTATTTTTTTTCTTTTCACCATTTTCTTTATGGGTTTTCGTTTTATCCTTTAACATAACACAACAAACTTTCCTACACTCACAACATTTCGTGGGACCCACACTTTTTAAAACAAAAAAATAAATAAAAAATTAAGGCACGCAAAACGAATCTCTATAACATTACACAATCACTTTTCCTACAACATAACTCTTATAAAACCCTTTCTTTATTACCCCTTTTCTCTTTTTCCCCGTATCTGGTTTCTATCATCTTCTAGCTTTGCTATTTCTCATGCATTTTTTCTTTTCACCATTTTTGCATCTTTTTTTCCCGTATCTGGTCACCAGCCATCAGAGCGTAGCAGACCCAGCCGTGAATGGCTTCGTTGGCGACGACGCTGAGCCAACCCGGCCAGCCAGCTGCCACATGTTCGTCTTGCATGTATTTGTTCAGGTCCCCCTACCTGAAGCTTAAGGCCTTGTAGGCAACAATGCCATTGGAGACTCACCGATTTCGCTCTGACTTTTCTCTTTGAATCAGTCTTCTTCTTCTCCTCCTACTCGTTCAAAAACCTTCCATTTTTGCCCTTCGACCGTGTCGGACACGGTCAAAATCGCGTGTCCAGATAGTCAACGTGTCCGAAAAGTTAAGCACGTGTCAAACGCGTGTCGGAGCGTGTCCGAACGTGTCGGTGTCCGACACGTGTCAGACACGCATTTTTTCTACAAAATGACGTGTCCGTGCTTTGTAGATTGTGAGTATTCTCTTCATAAAGAATCAATTCAACTCAAAAACTTAGGATATTGAGTGAGTGTCTTTTTAATAATTGGTATTATTCTTTAACACATCTCTCACACAAAGTCCCTTTGTGAATATTATATAGGCACAATTTTTGGTTTTAGTTTATGTTTATTTAATTCTACTAGAAAGTGGAGTGATGAGAATCGAACTCGTGATATTGTGATCACATAAGGTCTGCTACCTTGTAATTTGTAAAGAACTAACTCAACTCAAAAGTTTAAACTATTGAATGATGATCTTTTTAATGATTTATATTATTCTTCTAACACTTTTTTTTTTTTAACCCAAAATCACCACATTCTCAGATATTACTCATGCACAGTCGAGCAGTTTAACTATTTATTAGGAAGGACAAAAGTGAGTCGACTTATTGGTTTAATTAGGTTATTAATAAGAAGTTGAACTTTTTTTTGTTCGAGCTAGACTTATTTTGAACAAATGAGCTGATTAAATTCAATGAGAAAATATCGAATATCATTAATTAGTAGTTTAATTAGGTTCAATGAGTTGACGTTGAATTTATAACTTAATAAAATCTTGGTTTTGTACATATATTTAGTTAAAAATAATTAATCAGACAAAAATTAAATCAAATGTTTATCTTTATATTGAATTAACATATTATTTTTATTATTATTTAATGAGTTGAAAATAAAAAATATTAAACTCAGCTTATTTAACCAATAAGTTAAAATTTGATTGCTAACGATATAAGAACTGACGTGTTAGTTATTGAATTGACATGTATAATATTGATGTGAACATGAAGAAATCATAAATGTAGCAATGTAGGAAGTTGAATGATTTCTGGACTTGTTAGTGTTACTTTGTTCTATTTTTTTATTTTGGTAAAATGTTGTATTTTTTATTGTTTATACTTACGATTTATTTTTTCTTATAATCTCTTATGATTATATTTTTTGCTATTAGATCAAAAATAAATCAACGGTTGTAAATTAACATCAAGTGAGGATCATTAATTTAATTTTAATCCAATAATAAAAAATTGATTATAAGAAGTTATAAGAGAAAATAAAATATACGTATAACCTAATGTTAAAAAAAATTATTATAAAATATATCTTTAAATAAGTTTTCACGTCAAGTCAAATTGTTAAAAAGGTCAGGCAAAATAATCGAAAATAAGTCTATATATAAAAAAAAATAAGTCAGATTCAAATTTTGTTTAAAAAATTAATTAAGTTCATTTAAAGTAGGAAAATGTTATATTTACAAATTTTTTATTTATAAACTCTTATAAACTACACTATGTCTTATCGGTCATAGCAGAGGAAGTGTTTTTTTACTCCAGAAACGATCAAATGCTATGACTAACGCTCAATTAATTCATCCCCAAGACAAAGAGAGACAACATTATTAATTTTGCTATAGTAGATAAGTAGACAATAAATAAGAATATATATATCACTTGTGATTGTGGGCATGACATCAACAAGCCCGCTCCCTACCAATATGTCAGCAGATAACCTCAGAAGGAATGAAGGCACTTATTTTCACCGCAATGATCGATGTCAACGAGAATATATATGTTAAATAAATAAAAAAGGGTAGTTCATTAAAAAAAAAGAAGAAGAAGTTGTCTTTGAGTTTTTAAGCTTGTATAATTAATTATGACAGATTGGGGAAAAAAAAACTTAATTATTTCTTTCGACGTTTCTCGGTTTGTGCCATAGAGATTTATGATCTACTTTTTAAATAAATTTTTTTAAAATCATAAGCTTATTCTATTTTACTTTTAAGTAATGAGTCGAGACTGACTTAATATAGGCAGGTCCCTATTAAATCGTCTCACAGATTTACGTCCAAATAATGCACTTTAATTCCCACAAACCTGATACATATTTTTCAACTACGTCACTGGCTCTTCAGCAGCCGTGCCTTACTTCTACGAGTCAGAACTCAGAATTTTCAACTGAACTTCTCTCTGAATTTTTTTTTTTTTTTAATTTGTGCACAATTTTAGAAGATATGTGGGAAACTTCGATTCTGTATGGTATTATTTTTTATAAGTTTTTAATTTAGATTATTTTTTTATGATTTTTTAGCTTTTAATAAAAATATTATAATTTTTTTCATTATGTAATTTTTAATTAAATTTGTAATTATAAGAACTGTGGACTGCAAAACCACCAGAAAATAAGCTAAAGGAACCTCTAGATTAGAGGAAGCATTTTTATTTTTATTTTTTTTTTGATATAAGAGGAAGCATTTTCACCCTACCAGAAAAGAAAAGGAAGCAGTAAAAGAAATGCTAACTTGTTCTATATCAATTAAAAGACTCCGTAAAAGATGTATATAAATGCAAAAAATAGAATGTATATAAATCATATGAAATAAAAAACTGAACATTTGTATTAAACAAAAGTATATGTATATAAATGCAGAAAAGAAACAATTAAAGAACTGCTCATTTTTTGCTGAACCTTATAGCGAGAGAACACTCTGGTAACGAAATTACACTTTTACATCACAAAACTACTAGGAGAACATTGCATAATGGTATTGGTACCCAATGGGGAGCACATTTAGCATTTGGATAAACATATATTTTACCATTAAAACATTAATTTATTCATAATAAAATGTGTTGCTTTGCTGCAAAGGACACCTGCTACAACTATACACTGCAGGCTCCAAGTCATCAAGAGGAACTTATTAACCCTTCTGGATACTCTTGAGGTTCCGTACAGTCATAACAAGCTTTTGTCTTTCACCTTCTACCTCTGCAAATTTGAGGCTCATTTCTGAGTATCTCTCTTGCATCTCTTTAAGTTCGGTTTCCATTGATTTGTTTCTTTCCTTCAATGAAGATAACTCATTTAATATGCCACTAAGATTGTTGCTGTCAGCAGTATCAACTATGGAGGTTCCTGCTTCTTTCTCTGGCAAGTTTATATTACTGCCATGGCAAGAAAATAATCAATAACTAAACAATTCAATGGCTTGATTGAACTCATAAAAAATCACAACATTAACATAGACAAACTGGACAGTCACCAGACTGGTACTAATTAATTACTAAACTATGTCTTCTTAATGTGATAGGGACGAAAAAAAAAAGGACATGGAAGGGAAGTAGCTAGAAAAGTAGTCAGACCTCTTGAATAACAATGCAGCCCCGGTTTCTTCAGATCCACGTGCAGAATTGTTGAGATGCTCAACTGTACTACTTACTTCTCCAGAGATCTCACTTGAAATAGTAGTGCTATCCTGAACAACCTGTACATTCATTGTAGATGTGTGATTCAATGTCTTCATAAATCAACAATTCAACAATGAAAGTTTTGTAATTAAGACTTCGTGGAACAAAAACTGTTTTGTCCTAACAGAAATTATACCTAACCAAAAATATAATTGGAAATTTTCGTATTGCCATCATGCATCATTGCATTTTGATGGTGTGCCAATCACTAATAGGCTTAAATTTTTTTAGCAATGTTCGCTAATTGCTACAGCTTTGCAGTATATAAGGCAGTATGAGTATACATACCTTCTGCAAAGCAATACTACGATTGAATTCCTCCAACTTGTTCTCCAACTCCTCAATTTTGGTCTGGAGTTCCTTTTCCTTCTCCAAAAATGAAGTTGTTGATGTATCCAAGGCAGTTTCCTTTGACTGTACCAGGCCCTGCCATAACAAATCCTTTTCATTAACATCCCCACCTCAATTGCCACAAAGAAAATACAGAAGAGTTAAAAACAGTGGATAGTAGATAGAAAAATTGGAATTTGGGTATCAAGCATTTTTTTCATAGGACCTATCTCTTCATACATATTTGCAAAGTTACCTCAAGCGTTTTTATTTTCTCCCTCAGATTTGCCAATTCTTTTAAATTCTGAGGAGTTAAAGCAGTTTTTTGGTTCTTTGGAATGATTTGTGTGCGTCCATTACTATCCCTGAACCTCTTCTCCATGCTGGTTAATGCATCGTCCTTCTTCTTTAGTTCACCCTTTAGCTGGAAAACTAGCTTTCTTAGTTTTTCTTTCTCAGCCTCATCGTCAAAAAGAGAACGTTTCAAGTCACTGCATTGAGCTCTAACGGCTTCCAACTCCGAATGTAAGTGTCCATCCTCAGTTTCTTTTTCATCCTTAAGATGTCTCATCCTATTTAGCTCATTGAGTGATTGCTCTGCTTCCTTCTTCAATAATGCAATTGTACTCAAGAGTTCATTTCTTTCCTTAGTTCTTTTTCGTAACAGTGTCTCAGATTCCTCAACCGATTTCTTCATAACTTCCAACTCGGTTCTCAAAATTTCTTTTTGTTCTACTTGCTCGTATAAGCGTGAAATCTCCACTTTAAGATTTTCATTCTCAGCTTTTAGCATCTCAATCTCCTCAGAGAAATCCCTACTAACTTGTTCCCCATGCTGCTGCTGATTTTCAAGCTGCTTGGACTTGTCCTCAATTTCCAACAACATCTGTTGCATCTGAACTGTCATCGTATCTATTTGGTTTGAAAGTTCGTTCAGTTTGACCTCATAATCAGCTTTAACAGACTGAAGCTCTTCTTTGACTTTATGCAGCATTTCTTCCACTAAACTTTTCTGTGCACGCAGTTCACTTGCTTCTGTCAACGCTCTCATGGCAGCCTTCTCATTTGCATCAAATGTAGAGGTCATTTGGATTGAGAGCCTTCTAAATTCCTCTTGAAGCCTCTCAGCAGTATTAGCATTTTTTAGTCTCGTCTTTCGCAAAGCTTCCTCTGCTTGGATGGCTCTTTGCTCTTGCTCAACTTTGTCGCGTGTCACTGCTTCTAGATCAGCTTCAAATCCGTGTGCTTGTTTCTCCAGTTCCTCCTCTAATCTTTTGATATGGGTTTCAAGTACCTTAATGGTAGCCAGAGAATTTGAGAACTCTTCTGACTGTTCATTGAGTTGATTTTCCAGATTCTGGATGTGGGTATCAATGTCATTCATAGCAGCAGGAGGAGATGAACATTCATACTGCATTTTTAACTGTTCTTGCAGTTGGCTTTGCTCCAGCTTATATGCAATGCCATGGTTTTCTTGTTTCAATATCTCATAGTCTAGTGCAAGCTGCTCCATCTGCATCTCTAACTCATCTTTGTCTCTCCTATACATCTCTATTTCACCATAGAGGTCTATTATTTTTTTCTCAAGTAAGTGTGTCTCCTTGGCATTGCTGTGCACCTTAACAAGCTCCTCCAATGCTTTCTGTTCTCCATCATCATCTGTTTCACATTTAGAGAGGTTTACCCCTAACTCTTGGGAATTTTTACCCTGTTCGCATTTATTGGAATGATTACATATATCCCTATTTTTCTGCTCCAACATTTCTTCCACGTCCTGCACAGCAAGAACCAGTTCAGCATTTGATTCTTGCATCTTCTTTAACTGTAATCGGAGATTTGCATTCAGGTCCTTCTCATAATTCAATTCTTCTCTAATTTCTTCAACAAAAGCAACAAGATCTCCACTTTCCAATTGTGACCTGTTTCTCATTTTGGCCTCAGCCATGCGTTTGTGAAAAGACCTGAGATTGTCACATTCTGTCTTGAGTGAATCCCTTTCCTCTTTCAAGATAATGATTTCTTTTGTGAGATCCTTCCCTCTTTTGCTTTCCTTTACAATTCGCTTCCTAAGTGTCTGTAGTTCCATGTCTGACACATCAACCTGCCTGGCCAAAGCAGCAAGTTCAGCCTTGAGTCTTTCAATCTCCGAAGAGGATGCCTCTTGTGATCTTTCTTTTGGAAGGGCATTATGAGAACCATTAGTTGAATCGTCTATACGTAACCCTTGCTCCGAACCAGCTGACCAGTCCCAATGTGAACTCTGATGTACATCATGCATTGATGTTGAGGCATTGGCAGCAGGGTTTTGAGGTTCTGAAGCATGGCTTATATCTGTAAGAAACTGATTTGTGTTGGGATGGATGTTCGTTTTTCTTAGTCCAATTTCGCGGGGAGTATCAAGTCCAGAGCTCTCATCAGAACTTGACAATGTAATGTCAGATCCACTAGATGTCCTACAATCAGCACTCAATTCAGCTCTATTGATGATTGCTTTGGCAGAGACATCCTATGAAACAGAGAAAAAGAGGAGATTTAATAATTTTCATATATTTTAACTCCCAGAGTAGAAGGAAAAAAGAAATGGGTAAATTATGTACTTAGAAAGGATATGCCAGTTGTATTCATAAATCAAGGAAATCTTAAATTATGAAAGCATGATAGTGACTTATATACCAACCAAACAACAGCTTGCCCCTTCTCCCCAAAAATATGTGAGAAAATTTATCTTATGGATTGGAAGTCACAATAATTCCTAGCCCAAATGAGTGAAATTCTTACTTCAGATGAATAACTTTGAGTGCTTTCATCTGTATCGCCATTGCTTAATTTGTTCCTTAAGCTCCTATCATCGGATTTTAGTTTGGCATCTTCACATTCATCTTCCTCTCTGCAAATGTTATCAAACGAGAAGAAACCTCATCATCAAAAACTGTGAGTTTGAGGCAAACCCTATAATCTGTAAAGGAAAAATAAACATGGCAATTCCCCTAGTACCTTTGATCACTGTTTTGTTGCAGCCTCTGAATTGATATCTGTTGGTAAAGCAACAAATCAAATTTAATGAGATCAATGTTGCTTTGACTTGTGTTTTACTCAAACTTTTGATCAGGTTTCCCTGAAATTTCAAGCAACTTTATATCTGGACAAAAAAAGAAAAATAAAAAATTTGAGAAAGCAAATACTAACATGCAAAACAGCATCACAATGAGAATTCTTGAAGGGAAGAGAAACAGCGGAGGGCTTTGTGGCCTCGACATAATCAGCGAAGTTTATAGAAACCTCCCCAATGGAGCTAGCTTTAGATAGCCCCTGCATAGAACCCAGGAATTACATCACATTCTGACATAACAACTTTACAAAAATAAACTAATTAAAAGTTAATGATCGAGAGAGAGAATTCATACCGTTGAAACCAAAAAATGATAAATTTTATCGCTGAATTTCCCAGTCTTAGACTCATGAATAAATTTGACTGTTTCATATACGGCATTATCCCATCTACAGATTCCATCACGAACTGCAGCTTTCTCTAATCTCATAGTTGGCTTTCCAATGTCCCCTGGAACTATAGACAACATCAATGCATCTAGCCCAGATTGAAACACCTGAAATTGCATCCCCAAATACAATCTCTCATGTTAATTCCCAGCTCAATATCATGGAGCATTCACAATCTATTCCAAACTCCATCTTGACTTTCCAGAAAAAAAACTCAAATAAGGGCTACAAAATGGTATCTCTCTCTCTCTCTCTCTCTTTTCAAATTTAAATTCTAAATAAAATTCAGAAAAAAAAAATATCGAACCTAAATTGTTGTTGTCCCAATTCAAAATCGTGATCAATCAAAACAAAAAGAGAAAAAAAATGCATTTCCTCAGAACCCAAACTAAACCAATAGATTGAATTCATCCTTCAACAGAATTCTTTGTTAGTCAAGTGTACAATTTACAAAGAAGAAGAAGAAGGAAAAAAAGGGAAGAAATTGATAGAAATATGAGAATGCAGGGAAGGTAATCCTCAGAAGCTACCTGGGTGACATGGAAGTGAAGCTTGAAAACAGCTTTGACCCTGTTCTTCTCTGTTCTCCATCTTGCAGAACGAAACATCTTCACTCACTCCACCGCACACGTTCAGGTTTCGCCGGAGCTCCCCATGGATTGTGGTCCCAAACAACTACGTCGCTAACTGGGACTCCTCAAAACGCCAGAAAGAACCGTTCTTCAATGTAGGCAAAATTGTTGAGCTCGGTGGTTCCGTTTAACTCATTATCCCGAAGCGAAACAGGGTGAGAGAGAGAGAGAGAGAGAGAGAGAGAGAGAGAGTAAACGTAGCGTGTCAGGGTGATAACTAGTTTTGAAACTCAGAAGCAAACAAAAACAAGTAGATCTGATGTGCAGTTTCCTTGCTCCTCTGTTGTTGTCGTCTCTGTTTGCAACTACAGCCTTAAAGAAACAGATATACATTAAACACATGCTCCTAAAAAAGTTAAAGCTAGTATTTGCATGCATCATCTAAAAATACATATATTCTAGCGGAAGCTTCTTCTTTCAAAATAATTATTGAATTCATTAAATTAATAATTAGGTGAAAATTGCTTATTTTGGGGTGGAGAATAAAATCATGTATTTAATTATCTATCACGGTTCTTGTGTTTTTATGGATGGGGAATGGGGAATGGGGACTGGACAATAACGTATCTTCTTCATTGTCTGTTTTTCTTTCTTATTCAATTGAAAATTAATAATTCACCTGCGTAACGAGTATATTTCATCTACCACATCTTCCACAGCTAAGATTATGTAAGTTAAATACTTTAATTTGAAATAATATCTGTCCACTTATTAAAGACAATAATAATGACCAGGAAAACAATGAGTGAGAGTAATCCATTGGAAAAGAAATTTTGTTTTGGCCTTGAAAGGTCTATTTATTAGCTCTTTCTATATAATCCTAAAATCCCTGCTGGCTGTTTTTGCGATGGGTAAATTTCAATCGAGACAAAAAGTAATAAATAAGATGGTTCAGTTCGAATATCGAGTTAAAGGGTCCAGTAATCACATCTTGGAAGATAAAATTAATGCCTGACATACTGAGGTACACTGGCTATATCTGCACATTAAGGTTGACTTTGTTGTTCTATTTCTATCATCCAAAAACATTTTCAGTCTTTGGGAACTACCAATTTGTTAAATATAAAAAAAAATTATATATTTCTTTTTATAATTATTTTCTTTTATATTTCTTTTTTTTATAAAGAAATACATGCTCTCATAGCACAAAAAATGTATTCCTATAATCGATGTGATGTGAATATGAGATTTTAAAAAAATAAAAATGGAAGACTCTTTATCTCATGTCTAATATTTAAATATTAGGCTGTTAGATGGATTGATGGGAGTCCGTGGCAGGGGACAATCACCAATGAGTTAATCTACATCAATTATAACAAGTGGGTTTAACATCATATTTCAACTCAAAACTTTAAGAGATTGAGTTTATGAGTCCATCCACTTATATTCACTTCACTTAATCCATTATCAACCAATGTGAGACTTATCACACTTGAATATCTCAATCTAGCACATATGAGATTTAGTTAGACACAATAATTTTAGTTAATATGTAAGTAATATGTAAGTTTGTATATTAATTCGTACGTTCATGCCAATTAACATGTTTGAAAGGTATAATATTTAAAAAGAAAAATAGAATTTCTAATAAGAAAATAAAATAGAATCTCTATATATAAAGCTCGGACATTAGGGAAATATTTCATGTACATACTTTTGTGTATAGACCTAATTTTCCATAACATGCATTATTAATAAAGTAATAAGTCTATGCTAGATAAAAAAAATTCTCCTACACATACATTAAAAATTGCGCTAGTTGTTATTTTTTCTCATGGTGGATCCTAAGTTTTGTTGTTTCTGTAGTTATAAGTTTCTCATACAATAGAAATAACTTATAACCCTTATTAATATTCATGACTAAAAAAGAAAACAAAGAATAAAAAAAATGGATAATGAAAATTGAGTGTTTATGAAGTATTTAAAAAAAGGGGAAAGTTATATTTATTGTAGGGTATAGATCATACTTCGCATATTGATGCAGGCCCTTATTGGCGGGGTCAATAAAAAGACAACTGGAATCCCATGAATATATGTTGTTAGAGTTTTCTAAATTCTATTTATATTTTCTTGTAAACTGAGTGACTTGTAATGAGTAGTTGTGAGCTGAATATAGTATAGACAATCTGGATGTAGCTTACATTAGATATGAATCGGGATAAATCAATGTGTCAAATCTATCTTCCTTTTCTCTTTTTTGTTTTTTTTGATTTGTGTGTGTGTCAAATCTCTTATTGGGTGCACATAATATACTACTCCTAATACATATTATAGTTTGTAAAATAAAAAAATTATAAATATAACTCTTCACTTCAAAAAAAACAAAAAAAACTATGTAAGTAACATGACCATAAATCGTATTAATTATGAGCTTACTAAAAAAAAAAAATCGTATTAATTATGAGAACAATAGAAGGCATGACTTATACTCGTAACGTAGCTGTTGAGAATCCGTGTATACATATAAGTATATAACCATGACATGATAACGAAGGTTTTGACTTCGTATTGCTATTGGATTCCTTTAGAAGGTTATCATCATTCATCATTTTATTGGATACTTAAATTAACAGGACCCACTAACATATGTAGTTTTGTGTATTTTCCGCTTTTGCTTTTTTACTTTTAGACAATCTTTTCCCATCACAAATGCCAATAAATAAGCATTTTTCTAAGCTACTTGGACTTTGTAAGAGACGGGTTGGAACGTAACATGCTGACTGCCAGGCACGACAGTTGCCGCCGGCGCAAGAATACGATGCGTTGGGTTTAGGGTTAAGAAAATAAATAGTGGTAAAAAAGAAAAACCCAACGGCCTAGCTAGTTAATAATTTCCTAAGTTTCCTCTTATAATATTATGAAAACGAAATTTTAACCGCAAAAAATTGTAATGAATACAATGTACCCAAAAAAAATAATTCTAACCAATCCTTACCTAAATTCATACTCAATAACATAGTATATATAAAGAAATTCTTAATCCAGAGAGAGAGAGAGAGAAATTGTCAAAAATGCCTTAATATAAAAAAATATTACTTTTTCTCCTGGGCCCAATACCGTAACATCCCTAGCGATATACGAATGAAAGTAAGTTAATTAATAATTAGTATTGGTACTATAAAAAATATGGACATGGATTCTCTGTCGTTAGGGAAAGATTACAATTACATAAAGATAAATCAATGATTATGATTTGTAATTATTTATTTTAATATTTTTTTTCTCTTCCTTTATTACTATTGGTTCATATTTGTATAGTTATAATTTTTCACATGATCATATCATATTTTTTTCACATGAGAGGATCGAGATCTAAAAAATATAGATTTAATAAAAGTAAGTTGATTAATTATTAGTATATAATGAGTATATATCAATAATTTTTTCCTTTTTAAAAAAAAATATCATTAAATTTTTGTATACTCACTAAATAAATTAAAATAATAACATTATAAGTGACTGTTTCATAAACTACAATAATTTGATTTTATTTATTATTGATAAACTAAATAAAAATCGAATGATAGTTATTAATTAATATTAGTATAATGAAGAACTTTTTTTTTTGGATATTTGAATAACTTTTATATTAAAAGATATGGGCTACGCCTACACCGACACTTTGTGAGGAGTGTTACTCAGTATAGAATCGTTTAACTTAAGTACGTTAATACTATGTTTACTAACCAAGTTTAGTGTCAAAGCACATGACCCATTTTCTGTATACTTCTTGTCTCGTAAGCATCAGTTTAAATATTTTTGTGTCCAAAAGCCCCTAATTAACTACGTTGTAACGTAAAAAAATTGGGACACAAATAGTTTTAGGTAAGCAGATTATCAATGTTTTTCACCTTGATAAAATTATTACTATTATAACTTCAATAATCCCGACTAATTAATAATAAAGATTAAGAACTTTTTAGTTATTATTACGAACTTTTTATTCTAAGAATTTCTCTAGAAATTAATGCCCCGAGTCAAAGGTCTTCTTGGGGAAGAGAAGTAAACATTAATTGAGAGCATCCTGACTTTAATTAAATTAATTACGCCGTGGAGTTCAGGTATTCGTTAGGTTGATGAAGAGCGTAATAGAGGACGAAGGTAGTTTCTTTTTGGGCCCACAAATCTCTAAATCACATCTACCTAAAGTCCTAAAATTAATAATCAAAATGTATATAATGGACGGACACATTCAGTGTATCAGTACATAGTCATATACATATACATGGTTGTATTAATAGTGCATAGACTATTAATAGTGAATTCCATCCTTTAAAACACAAAATAGAAGCGGAAATGGTACGTGGGTGGTGACTGGTGCTGGTGAGGTAAGAGTTGCTTTTCTTGTGCTTTTAATTTACTTGGCTTTAAAGCTGGTAATGTGCAGGGTGTGGTTGAGCTTACTAGTAGACTTAAGTCAATCACTAAAGTCCATCCGGGTCCAATTTCAAAGCGTGCATCTGCAGTCACTAGCCACCAGCCACCAGGACCAGAAGCCAACTCAACACTCAACAGCACCATCAGTTACATATACTTTACAAAACTATAGTACACCATACATGTTTTCCCAAATGGTAAAGGCAGACGCAATGTCGTTTAGTTAGTCACAATTATGAACCAAGTACACCTTAATTTCAATGCAACAACTGCCAATACAAACTACCTATTTAAACTGGGGTCCATCCCTTATATACAAATTCCAAATTTAGTTTTAATGCGTAGTACTTGGTGGCCAATGGCCAACGCCAACCTCTCAATTTGTGAACACAGTTGGGAAAAGAAAAGAAAAAAACGAGGGGTGTCTCATTGTGTACGTAATACTATAAAATCCTTTAATGGATAGAATTCATCAAACCACAAGTTACTCGTGGACCTCAAGTGTTACTCTTCTTCTGGCAAACAATTCCATGTGTGTGCAGCTTTTGTGCCAGCTTTTGTTTCCCCACAAGCTAAATTCTGGCTGTGTGTACCCGAATAAACTATTGTTAAATCAAAATATTCTTATTTATTGTTGTTATTTTGAATGATTATCGTTTTACCAAGCCATTAAAATTCACAGCTTAATCCAAAAAAATATATATATATATATATTCACAGCATCCATTCTCTTAAAGGAGGTCATTTACGGTGGATCGGGCCTTGGTATGCCTTAACCAAAAAAGGAAAAAAAAAAAAAAAAAAAAGTGAAAGGTAATTTAAAAAGAAGATAGGGATAT